TTACAAATAGCCAAGATATGGAAGCAACACAAGTGTCCATCAATAGAAAAATAGATAAAGAAGATGGGTGGGGGGGTGTGCATGCGTGCACACAGTGGAATATTATTCAGCCATAAAAAAAATGAGATCTTGCCATTTGCAACAGCGTGGATGGACCTAGAAAGTATTATGCTAAGTGAAATAAGAGAAAAACAAATGCCATGAGATTTCACTTACATGTGGAATCTAAAAAAAAAAAAAAAAATACAGAAACAGACCCATATGTATAGAGAAGAAACTGATGATTGCCGGGATTGGAGGGGAGAGATGGGCACAAGGAGCGAAGAGGAGTGGGAGGTACAGGCTTCCCGTTATGGAATGAGTAAGTCATAGGGATGAAAGGTGCAGCCCAGGGAATATAGTCAGTGGTACTGTGACAGTGTTGTGTGGTGACAGATGGTAGCTACACATGTGGTGAGCACAGCATCATGTATAGACTTGGCAAATCACTATGCTGCACACCTGAAACTAATGTAACCATATTTCAGCTATACTTCAATGGAAATAAGATTCAAAAAAAAAAAGATGCAGCTGCCCTATTCATAAGAGCTCAAAACTGGAAACTACCCAGATGTCCATCAGCTGTAGAATGGATAAATGAATTACGGTATGTTCACACAATGAAAATCACCACCAATGAGAATGAACAGATTACAACACATGCAACAGTATGGATGAATGTCATAAGCATATTATTGAATGAAAGAAGCCAAAGAGAAATGAATGAAAAAGAATGCCTACTATATGGTTAGATTTATATGAAATCTAAATACGGAGAACTCATCTGTGATGTTAGTAATCAGGAGAGCTGCTGGCTAACAGTGTCTGTGGTCAATGTCTAAAAGGCACACGTGGGGCCTGGGGTGCTGCTGATGTTTGTTTGCATTCCAGTTGCTTATTACAGAGATGTCCTGTTAAAAGTGAATGAGCTTTACACTTAATGGTTTGTGGATTCTTGTGTATCTGTGTTAAATTTCTATAAAATTTTTAAAGATTGTTTTGGGAGCATGCCAACATTTCTATCATTTTTTCCGGTCTATTTGTTTCTACCCTGAGGTTAAGGTTCACTACTGTGTCTAAGGTTCTTTGGGGAAACTGGCTATATTAGTGAATCTAGCCCTTTGTTCCCTAACTCTAAGCATTGACTCAAGCATATAGAATAACTGTGTGCATGTGATCTGTGTAGTAATGTTGTGACTTCCCTTAGGAAGTGGCCGATGGAGAAATTGCTGCCCTTCCCCGGGATAGCTGCCCTGTTCGAATCCGAAATCGGTGTGTTATGACATCCCGTCCACGTGGTGTAAAGCGGCGCTGGAGGCTTAGTCGTATTGTCTTCCGTCACTTAGCAGACCACGGGCAGCTGTCGGGGGTCCAGCGAGCAATATGGTGACCCGCTCTGGAACCTACTGAGCAGGGAAACAAGTTCTGGCAAGAAGAGCCTTCTCTAATAGACAAAAACCTAGTTTTGTAGGGGTCCAGTATGGGAGTCTAGTCTACCTGATGCTGCCTACGGTTAAATTACCTTTTAATTTTAAATTAAGAAATTTGGTGGATGTTTCAGTCAGTGAATTCTGGCTCTCTGTGAATTATCTCTTCTCTTGGACTTAAAAATTAACCGTACTGTTTCCATACATAGTACAAGGAGTAGAGTAATAAAAAAATATTCTGTGAAAATATTCTCTGTGTGCCTGCCTTTTCCTTCACGCTAAATCTTTTAGCAACATATGAAGCGTTCCTGTATTTTTAAGGGCATTATTTCATAAAGCAGTATTATCTGATAGTTAACGCAACTCACAGACAAGTAGCTCATCTGTGGCAGTTTGTCATCCTGGGCTGGCTTCCCTGACCTGCACAGCGCACCATACTGCCAGCTCATTGTTAGGGAAACGATGTGTTAGAAGGTACAGCTGATGTTCCTGGGTGTCTAAGTCATGCTCCACTTCTCTGTGTGATGGCTGGACAAGAGGCAGAAGCACTAAAAGTTGTCCTGTTCCATCTTTGACAGCCTTTAGGGAAGAAGCCCTCTTAGAGCCCCTGAAAATCGATGCAAACAGGAAAAATTTTGTTGGAATAGTATATATTTTCTTTATTCTGGTTTATCTGTAACAGAAATGAGTAAAGGTAGCAAAAGATCATCTTGTTCAGTAACTCAGCAGTGATCAGCCCATTGATAAAAACGTCCGGGGTGTCCCACTTCACATCAGGCAAGTGTTCCCGGAGCTGACATCGGAACTTCAATCAGGAGGCAAGGGACGAGATTTTTGCAGAGGGAACCAGGGAAGTGGAGGCACAAAGTCATCAAGGAGTGCGACGGCAGCCCCTCCGTTGTATGAGAAATATGAAACGCAAGACAAAGCCCATGTCATGGAAGATACATTATGTGAAGGTAAGACTTAATTGGGGAGCAGAGGAATGACCTCATCAGTTGCTCTCCAGATAACTGACAATAGTGTGGTAGATCTAGGCCACGAGTGGAAAGGCTCCATGCAAGATAACCAGTTAGGAGGGATGTCATAATCGTTCTGGAAAACCAGGGCCTTAACAAAGGGAGTTGAGGCAGACAAGAGGATAGATTTTAAAAAGTCTTATTTAGAAAGAAAATTGGGCAAGACTTAGAGACCGATAGGTAAAGGGGACCGTGGGTTTCTGGTAAGGGTGACTGGATGGATGGCAGAAGGCAACCCCCAGATAGAAAATATGGGCAGAAAAGAATCAGTTGGGAGGAAACCGGGCATGTGAGTTCAGGTTTCAGTCGTGCTGTTTGAGATGCCTGTGTCTCAGGGAGAGGCCTGGTGTGCACCTGGGTAGCAGAGTCCGGAATTTGGTGGTGAAGCTGTGAGAGAATTCTCATAAACCTTGGATTCATGTTTCCCAAATTTATATTACAGCTTACCAACTGGAATGCTCTAGCTAGTATCCCAACTAGTAACTAGGGTTAATCAGATTATAACTAGAACGTCCCATTTGTTGATTTCTGGCGTATCATCGATAGGACACCCTCTTTTGTTTTCATTTGTTTGATTCAGGCATCCAAGCATGATCCATTGATTTCTTTTGGTTGCTGTGCCTGTCGTTCCTGCTTTCGTGTCACTGGTTTGTTGGAGGAGCCAGGTCATTGGTCCTTACATTCTGCATGGAGCGCTGGGTGTTACACGCAAACAGTGAACCATGGACACTACATCAAAAACTCATGGAATTAACATAATAAAAAAAAAATGGCGAACATTTGGGGGCTGTTTGCTTCTTCATGTGTCCTTTAATTTATTCCCGTCCCTAAAAACTCATAGTTACACTCAGAGGCTTGACTAGATTCAGGTTGTTTTTTAAGGAATGAATTTTCCCAGGTGTGCTGGGTACTATTTCCTGTGCCATCAGAAGGCAACTTTCTGGTTGTCCTCCCACTGCTGGGTCCTGTATCCTGTTAACTTGATGAAGGATATTTGGTATTTCCTCTTTCTGGCATAAGAAAATGCAGGCTTACCTTGTGTATTTTCTGCTTAACATTTTTGAAGGTTCCCTGATCCTTTTAGTACAAAAATGTTGAGACCGTATCTGAGCACTAAGGGTGCTGCTGTTTGCTACTGAATTCTGAATTGTCATTGCCTTTATAAAGGCCCTTTTGGTGGATGTTGCTAAGAAATGCGCATTTAAGAAAAATAATAATGGTAAGTTCATATCAATTCTGTACTTGTTAAATATAAGCTCCTAATGACTCGAGTTATTCATTATCTTTATCATATAATACATAAAAATTGCTTCAACATACACTTTTACTCCTAACACTAAGTGATCATAGTGTTAAGACTTCTGTGGATTTGTCTTTAGACTCCTGTCGCACTAGCAATGGAGAGTCAAAATACTGTGTTCTAAAGTCACTTTCAAGAATTATGTCTGTCACAACTTGGTATGTTAGGTTTGTTTTCAAACGTTAGGATTACTTTTTATTTAGCTTTGAAATGTTAAATTTTAGATGGTTCTAAAGTCAAAACTACAGACAAAAGTACACTCACAAGTATGGTTTCCAACCCACCTCGTTCTTTTCCCTGATAACCATTTTTAATTAGTTTCGGGTTACTCTTCTGGTTTCTTTTTGAAATAAGTAAATATGTGTATGTCTACAGTGTATTCACATGTCTCACCCTTTTGGACACTAAGGTAAGTATACCATAAACAATTTTCTGCACCTTGCTTTTCCTGTATCCTGGTGACCATTCTGTATATGTAGAAATAATCATTTCTTTTTGTGACTGTAAGGACCCCCCATGTAGACATATCTATCTGTTTATTCAGCTAGTCCTCGATTGATTAACATTTGGGTATTTCTATTTTTTTGCATTTATCATTCATTTTTGCCATTATCTTTGAGGTTATGTTAAATGTTTAACAGTTATCCTATATGTTCATTTAAAACCCTTCCAATTTTTACCCTACCACTTTTACCAGATTCTCCTATTAATTCTAGTAGTTTTGGTTAATCCTCTTGGATTTTTCCTATGTGTGTTTGATCGCTTTCTCTTATCTAATTGACAAAAGAAATGGAGATCACAAGCACCCTGCTCTTAACTGTGGATTTTTAGGGGGAGTAATTCTAAAAGAAATCCTCCCTTTTAATAAAAAGCCTTTCCTGGCATACTCCCGGATAGACAGAACTATTCCATTGAACAAAAACCTAATCAATCAACTTTATTGAACATAGGAATAGATGGATTTTTATTTTTGCTTTATGGTTATTGCTTTTGAAAATCATCTGATCCATGGTAGCTTACTAATTGGTACTATACAAAGATGTTTTCCTTTTCTTGTCAAGTTTAGATTTAGTTTTTATTTCTGAGCATTTAAATCTAGAGAGAGAGAAAAGTATTTGTGATTGGATTAGTAGTAGGCCATGGTAATGTGTGGTATATGTATTACTTAAGCTGCTCACAGAAAACTATGGCAACCTTGAAGCACACAGGTACGAATTTGCATTTTATGCAAAAATTCAGGTTTTATTTTTACTTATTCTTACAATTGTGGGAGCTGGTATCAGGAACTTATAGGCAAAAACAACTTTTGTTTTCTACATCTTAGCTGAACAAAAATACACACAATGTGGCATTATCATTAGGCAAGACTTGCTTTTTTACATTTCACACAAGAATACCATATTATCTTTTGAACAAAATGCCCAGATTACTAAGGAAACGATCTTTGGAGGAAGTGTTTAATAAGCATATTTTATTTAAATAAATCCTCCAGGAGGAAATGGGAGAATTCACTGCCTTTACTTAGAAGGCGGCTATGTAAGCAGTTATCTGTCAAATTTATCTGAGCAGCTCACCAACATTTCCTCATTGGAAACATCAATATTTCCATATCGCAGTTCCCAAAATGACTAAAGTCTTAAAATTCTGTGTCTCCTTTGGCTTGCTTCTCTCTTGATTCCACCCAGGCTTTATTAATGGTTCGCTTCATGTCATCATCTCCATCTTCGTAAATTTTCTTTAGAACATTCATCAGTCCCTCACTAGGATCTGTTTCAGTGTCATAGGAGGGCTTTCTGTGAAAAAGAAAACACAATTCTAAGTGATCCCATTTACTGATATGGTCCTCAATATAATCAATGCCTCTAGTTCAATCGATGTCCAAGCAGGGCCAATTAACTTTATATTCTTCACTTACCTCATTCAGTGCCAGATCGCGTAACTGGGCACTGAGGATACAACAAGAGAAAGGCATGGTCCTGTGCTCAAGTAATTTGTTCTAGATTTAAAATCAAATCAGATACATATAGTTCCTAACTCTAGCCAACGAAGTGCACCCCCAGCTACAGGGGAGGAGTGGGAGGAAGGAGGAAGGCTGAACGACTCAATGTAGGGCATCGCCAGTGCAGGACATTTCAGGCAGAGGAACAGTTTGACCTAGAATGGAAGTATCTCTAAACACTTTTTAGAATAGCCATTAAGTAGGATAAAAATACTCTCTTTCACTCTGCACCAATGACAGTGAAACTAATTACATATGAGAAACTTCTGTGGAATTCAAAACGTTGATCTAGGTATCTGGACCTCTCTTGAGACTAATGGAGTCTCTGGGAATGGACACAGAATCTGTGTAGAAGCAGCACACGTGGGGCGGCACCCGGGTGGCTCAGTCAGTTAAGCATCCAACTCTTGGTTTTGGTTTCAGCTCAGGTCATGATCTCAGGGTGGAGATGGAGCCCCGTGTCAGTCTCCACACAGGGCGTGGAACCTGCTTGGGATTCTCTCTCCACACTCTGTGCCCCCACCGCCCCCTCCCTCATGCATGCTCACTTGCTCTCTCAAGGGGGAAAAAAAAAAGCACCACTGGCCCAGGGTTAAGAACCAATACAAAAAAGCCAACCAAAACTAAAGCCCTCCGTAAAAAGCAACTTGCTGGATCTGTGCCCGCCTTAAATACACTGACAGTAGAAAGACACAAGATGATGACTGGGTTACTCAGTGGACATTCAGAGGTCAAATTACAGATTATACAACTCTTACCCATAACAGCAAAGTGTTAAAAATCTACAATCCCAGCAAAGAATACATTTAATTCTTAAAGAAATGAAAGTAAACTTACTCTTTCTCTTTGCATTCTTTTTCAACCTGCGTCAGGTAGTCCCAACGTGTGTTTTCTGCTTTCTTTCTACATAAGATAAGAACTGTATCTGTCTTGACCTGGAAGAAAAGCAGGAAAACAAGTACAACTTACAGCACATGGAGATAAGCATGGTTATTTGGAAAACATTTATGCAATCAAGTTACTATTATGTGTAGAACCAGTTTTAGGTGGTACTAATACTTTACAAATAGGACTCATGAAAGGGAAAGACCATACACAAGTAAAACTGGAATACCTTCAAATATAAAGACAAAAACCAAGACAAAGAAGGTGTTAATGGGGTTTGTTCATTAGGAAAGGCCTCTGTGAGGTGAAATCTGAGCTGTGGCCCAAGATCCAGAAGAAACGGCACAGCAAGGAGAAAGGCTGTAAAACAGGATGGTTTTGATGTTACCTGACTTAAAAAGGAAAAAAGTGGTAGGATTTTGGTGATTGAAGGACAGAGTAATACAGTAAGGCAGAAATCAAAATAATACACAACTCTTTCAACAGTGATCCATATAATTCCTAGGATTCTTTTGAGTATTTAACTATGAGATTAATGGATAAAGAAGGAAGCAGTGAGACACAGCTAATTAATAAGTTATATTCTAATACTGCCTTTAAACTGCTAGAGAACTATGTAAACACAGGTGGCAGAATGGCACATCTATGTACCAGATGTATTAAACCTTATTTAAGTAGAAAAGAGATTATCTGAGTTAGTGAAAAGTGTGAATAATAGTTTAAAAGGCCATTTATTTTTATAGATTTTACTACTTCTAGTTAGGCTAAGTGTTTAAGCCCTCATATATCAAAAATTAAGCACTTTATTTCATTTCAGTATATAATTTTAACTTTGTAAGATAAACTATTCCCATTGTACAAAGGAGAAAACTTGAGGCACAGAATGATTAAGTGAGCTGCCAAAAAGTCACAACTAGTAAGTGGCAAAACTGGCATGAAAACTCAAGTCTCACTCTTAACCAATTTTAAGTTTATTCCCTTCTTGATTTTAATGCAATATTCTTATCATTATTCTTCTAGAGGCAAGAGTTGACACAAGGCCAGATAGTTATTATTTTAGGTTTCTGGCGCAGCTACTTAATTCTGCCATTACAGTGCAATCACAGGCCCAGACAACACATAAACAAGTGAGCACAGGCGTGTTCCAATAATATAGCCATTAGGCTATAGTTTGCTGATCCCTGTTACAGAGGATAAATTAATTCTAGTTCCTCTCAATTCTAAATCAACCAGGTTCAACTTAATGAGGTTTCACAATATGACAAAAAAGTAAACTTACTTTTTTTGAACTGCCTTCCACAGAGATGGGTTTTAAGAGATTGTTCACAATCATGGAGTAACTCTTCCCATTTAGATTCTTTACCAAAAGATCAAATGACCTATAATACAATAGTGAATACATTATCTTTCTGGCTCTATGAGAGGTGCTTTACAGCTCTTGTGGAAAAAAGCCACAAGTTTTATTTTAGGATGTGCATTTGGCCATCCCTGGTGATAAGATTAACCTCTTCAAAGCAGGTGTAAAGGAAAATTCTAAATCTAAGCAGGTTTAGAAACTGAAAAGAAGAGAACCAGTAATAAAGCAATCTCTGACTTAATGATCACCATATTTTCCATTGTGAGAACTCACCTCTCTGTGAAATGCACCTGCACGTTCTCGGTGGGGACCTGATGAACTCCAGTTAAGGTAATATAGATTTTCACAAACTTATCTGACTGATCCCATCCTAGTAAAAACAAAAAAGGGACATGAGTAAAGTCTCATACTATCTCTAGAACAGCAAACGCATATGGCTCCTAAAACTGGAGGAAACTAAATTCTAGAATAGAAACATGGGAAAAATTAAAATATAAGAAACTTTCTACATGGAGAAATTGAGCTTCATAGCAGTTAAGTAATCTACAAAGTTAGGCATCTAGCTAGTGGTAAAACTTTGATTCAAATCCAGGTTTACTGAACACAAAGCCCATGTTTTTTTTTATTCCTTAGAATAAGGAATATGATCATTAAACTCATTCTTAAGAGTAGCCCATTTTTTGAAGGGGGGGAAATTGGAGGGGGAGATGAACCATGAGAGACTATGGACTCTGGGAAACAAACTGAGGGTTCTAGGGGGGTGGGGGAATGGGTTAGCTTGGTGATGGTATTAAAGAGGGCACATCTTGAATGGAGCACTGGGTGTTATGTGCAAACAATGAATCATGGAACACTATATCAAAAACTAATGATGTACTGTATGGTGATTAACAAAACATAAAAAAAAGAGTAGCCCATTTTTCTAACACCACACACACAAACTCAAAATGGATGAAAATGTGAGACATGAAACCATAAGCTCCTAGAAAAGAACATCCACAACAATGTCTCTGGCACTGGCCATAGCAACATTTTTCTAGATGTGGCTCCTGAGGCAAGGGAAACCAAAGCAAAAACAGTACGACTATACTAAAATAAAAAGCTGCACATAAAAGGATCACCAATAAAATGAAAAGGCAACCTAGTGAATGGGAGAAGATATTTGCAAATGATCTGGTAAGGGGTTAATATTGCAAAATACAGAAAGAACTTGCATACAACTCAACACCAAAAGCCCCCAAATGATCAAATTAAAAAATGGGCAGAGGACCTGAATAGACATTTCCCCAAAGAGGACATACAGTTAGCCAACAGACACATGAAAAGATGCTCAACATCACTAATCAATCAAAACAATGAGATGTCACCTTACGTATGTCAAAATGGCTAGAATTAAAAAACAAAACCCCAAAAACATGAAATAACAAATGTGGGTATGATGTGGAGAAAAACGAACCCTTGTACACTGTTGGTGGGAATGTAAATTGGTACAGCCAGTGTGGAAAACAGTATGGAAGTTGCTCAGAAAATTCAAAATAGATATACCATTATGATTCAGTAACTCCACTACTGGGTATTTACTCATGAAAAATGAAAACACTAACTTTAAAAGATACATGTACCCCTACAGCATTATTTATAATAGCCAAGAGAGGGAAGCAACCTAAATGTCTGTCAACAGATAAATGGATAAAGATGTAGTATATATGACAATGGAATTATTACTCAGCCATAAAAAAGATCTTGCTATCCACAACAGCATGGATGGACCTAGAGAGTATTATGCTAAGTGAAGTAAGTCAAATGGAGAAAGTCAAATAGCATATGATTTCATTTATATGTTGAATCTAAAAAACCAACAAAAGCAGAAATAGACCAATAAACACTGAGAACAACACAATGGTTGCCGGGGTTAAGGGGAGGAGATAGGCACAGTGGTAAAGGGGAGTGGGAGGTACAGGCTTCCAGTTATGGAATGAATAAATTGGGGAGAATAAAAGGTGCAGCACAGGGAATACAGATGATACTGTAATAGCATTGTACGTGACACCTGTGGTGAGCACAGCCTAACAGAGGTGCTGGATCACTATGCTGTACACCTGAAACATATGTCTCATTGTGGGTCACCTATACTCAAAGAAATTAAAAGAGCAGCTCATTTTCTTTTTGTGGAAATTTTGTCCTATATCTAAATATCAATAATTCACTACTAAACTGGATGTCTAAACATCAGTATTATCTAATTTCATAATCATTTCTACTTCTCTAAAACAGTTCAAAGGCAATCACTGCTTTCTCAATTCCCTTCACTGATACAGTAAAATACAGAGTCCTGATCATCCAAATCTAATTTAACTAACCTAGATGAATTCTGTCAACTAAAAACATACAAGCTTCACATAAAAAGTGAGTAAAATGTAAATAAAAATGAATAATGAATATTGTATATATAGGCTCTCTGTATATCCCTGACTGTTCCTTACTTATAGTCCTATAAAAAAGTGTAGTGTTAATAAAAAAAAAAAGACATCCTATAAGGTTCTGCAGACCTTCATCTGGTTTCTTCCCATTCATTTGATCCAGCCTCCACATTGAGAACAGTTTCTCCCTTAACACAAATCAAGGTTGCTGGGTATATGCCATAATCCTACAAGCTCAGACCAGCTTCCTTTGGTCAAGTAAATACACAGCATATCTCCCTATTGTACTACACTACACCTCTCTTTTTAGAAAAAAGATTTTATTTATTTGAGAGACAGAGCACACACAAGAGGGGGGAGGGTCAGAGGGAGAAGCAGACTTCCCGCTGATCAGGGAAGCCCAATGCAGGACTGGATCCTGGGACTCTGGGATCATGACCTGAGCCGAAGGCAGTCGCTTACCCAAATGCGCCACCCAGGTGCCCACTATACTACATCTCTTAAGCACAACACACACTGCTTTTCATTATGATAATACGGAAAATACATGCTGCCTTTCATGGCTCTATGCATGTCCTCTGCTCACTCGATCCCCCCCTCCTTTTCTTACATTTGCCAAACTCACCCTTCAAACTCAAATGTCTAAGTCTCCATTACATCAGCTGTATTCCCACAAAACTTCACAAACCTCTATTCACTTCATTTGAGCAAATATTAAGTAATTACTATGTGCTAGATACTGGGAGCACAAAGAAAAATGACTGTCCCTCCCCTCAAGAGAGCTCATCAGATTCAAGTTGCACTGTTCCAAAATGATCTACTGAGAGAAAATGGTATCATTACATGTTATGGTATTAGTTGTATGTCTGTGTCCTAACCACACCATGAGCAAGGATTGGGTCTTGGTCACTGTGTATCCACAAGCCCAAGCACAACAGTGGCATAGATTGGGCACTCAGAAATGTTTCTCGAATTTGCCTAGATTCCTTTCCTTAGATAATACTGGTGGTTGTTTGGCAAAATAAAATGCAAAACAGGATTAAAACAAGAAGCTGTATTCCTTATCTGCTGAACATATTTCAGAATAGGTTCATTCTTGTTGCTACTCATTACAGAAAATCATCTTGCTCTTGTTGATAGCTTTTAAATCTAGTCTTTCCTTTTTCATCTCTTCCAAAGCATCTTAATAAATAACAATAGGTCTTCTCTTTAAACTACCAAAAACAAACACTGAGACTATTTTAAAAATTGACTTTGTTAGTGGGTCACTACTCACGAATAAGATCCTGGGAGGCAGAAAGAACCGGATGTAGGATAGGGAGTCATACCGTAATTACTGATTTTCACTGTATATCCTGTTGTAATGGGAGCAACCACAGCAGCTGGCTTTTCACTGTCAAGAAGTTCTGCTTTTCTCTGTGATTTCTGCTGCATCTTGTTCTTGATTTCTGTCTCAATCTTGGATTTTTCAGCTGTAAGGGCATCACGTACTCTTTTTCTAGTGGCTTTCTCCAGCAGCACCTTCACCTCTTCTAAATCTTTCTGTAGCTGTGTTAAAATAGAAGGAAGTTAGCTATGATAAATAAAATAATAGCCGGATATTGTGCCTATATCTCATTTCAGTTTACTGAAGAGCTAAGAATTAAGAGATTCATTTAAATTTTCTAGGGTTGGGTTGCAACCTGAGGTTCTTTTCTCCAGCCTATTGAACTGTAAATAACTGAAGCTTCCTTTTTTTTTTTTTAAAGGAAAACTTAATCTTAAACTAACAGTAATTAATCAAGCCTAAATTTTCCAGTTTGGCAGCTGCCTTTGTTTTAGAACAGTTTATTGACAAGATAATACTGTTGTGATTCATAAAGTTCGATGGAGGAATCTCAAGAAAAATTTATGGATTTCCTTATAACATCTGTTCCTAGTCATCAGGTATTAGGAATTTTAAAAATCTTAAAATAAAAAAGATGAGTGAATACACGATGAACATGGTGAAATCCTACAGCAACTTTAGTGAGGTAGTCTATTTTCTGTGTTTGTTCCTCACTGGTTCCTACCCCAAATACTACACATTAAAAAGTTTGCATTTTTAAGAGATAAAAAAATAAAGACATTTCTGCTTTTAAGAAAAAGTCTTGTTCTGAATCTCCAGGTTAACGTTGCAGTCAAAAGTCTGGGTCTTGGTTGCACCATAGAGGAGAAAAACCTAGGAAAACAATCCAAAATGCGACACAGTCCTGGATCACTGAAAAAACCACCTGTTCTTTTCTCAAGCCAATACACTGCCTACCAGTGTCTATTTCTACTTTCTAGAGAGAGGGCCAACATTTTATGAAGTTCAAGAGTTAAAGACACCATTAGATAATTACAATTAATCAGCTTAAAACCTTTTCCCAATTATCCTCTGACATACTGCAAATGCATAAGATCCTTACAAACAAGGGTTTCATTTTTCTTAAAATAACTTTACATTCTGACTTGATAATAGCAATTTGACATTATATACTATAGCCTCAGAGCATATAAAGAATCTCAATATAAAAATCTTTAAATGCTTGATAACTCAGTATAATGTCCAAGTAGAATTTTAAAGTCTTTGTTTCTTAAGTCTTACAAAATGTAATAACAGAAAAACAAATGCTTTTTACCCTAAGTCTTCCATTATCTCATTTAACTCTGACACCCTCATTTCACTTATCAGTAACTACTAGGATGTTAAATAAAAAGTCCAATGGTGGTAGTCTCCTGTCTTATCTACTCCCCTCACCGCCAAAACTCATACTAAGACAAAGAATCCTGCAATTTCATCTTTTGAGCACAGAACCAAGATGCTTTCGTTCAAAGCAGTATCTTATTATGATCTTAAAAATTCAGATTCTAATACCAATATGATAAAAATATTGAAATGTAAAATCAGTATATTTGTTCCTAAGGATTCAGTTAACAACTACAAAAAATAGAAAATATATCAAGTCTTAAACAAGATGTTTTATTTCTTGACTGGATAGGAATCCTTTTTCTAGCAGGCTTCTTAACTCTGAGAATTAAGCAAGGGATTCTCAGGCCCTCTTTACAGCCAGTTTTGGCTCTCTCATACTACAGAAGGAAGGGAGCCACTCTAAGTCTGAAGCAACCTTCTAACAGGCCTGTTTTTAATTCCACACTTCTATTATTTGCAGACCTGAAACCAGTAAAATTGATCCCGTTAGTACTTTTCCTGCACACATACTTGAAGATGTCATAGATAAAGCAGTTTCTTATCTAATTTACCTTAGCATTCATTTGTTTTCCTTATACAACATCACGCATCCCTTTTATCCCCACCCATAAACACATTCAAGCTTTTTCCTGAGTTCTTCACCAGGAAGCATTGAAACTAAAGTGCCTCAAAATGAGCAAAGGACTTGAACACAGCCATCAAGCAAGCACATGAAAAGATGCTCAACAATCTTAGTCATTTAGGAAATGCACATCAAGATCACAATAGGATGCCACTTCACACCCACTAGGATGGCTAACAACCCCCCCCCCCCCCCCCGCCCGGCCCAAATAACAAGTGTTAAGAGGGTGGGCAGATTTTGGTACCTTCATATGTAACTTACGGGAATGTAAAGTGGTGCAGCCACTTTGAAAAGAGTTCACAGGCTTCTACAATTCCACTCCTGGGTACGTACCTCACAGAATTGAAAATACATGTCCACATAAGAAGCTGTACACAGTATTCATAGCGGCACAGTTCATAATAGCCAAAAATCAATCATCTAAATGTCCATCAACTGATAAAGGAGAAACAAATTGTGGTATATCCATATAATGGAATATTATTCGGCCATAAAAAGGAACACATGCCACACCATGGATGAACTAGAGATTATGTTAAGTGAAAAGAGCCAAAAGCAAAAGGCCACATTCTGTAAGATTCCACTTACATGAAATGTCCAGAATAGGCAAATCTACAGAGACTAATTAGTGGTTGCTGGAGGGAGCAGAAGTAGGAAGGGACTGCTTAACAGACACTTAATAGGTCTCTTTTGGGGATGATGAAAATGTGGAATTACATCGTAGTGATAGCTGTGCAACACTAAATGTACTAAAAATAGACACTTTAAAATGGCTAAACAGTGAATTTTATATCAAACAAAAACAACCTCTGAAGTGTCCCTAAGAGTGTAAAGTACCTCAACTGAGAAAAACCCCTTATTTTGAAGAGGATTAATAACTGAGCTATCCGCATGTGTGACTGTGAAGTCACTGCAGAGATTCTTTCCTCAGGGCACACGGAAACCCAAGGCCTATCTTTAACACGTAACATAAACCTGGGGCGAGGTATCCAGTATAATACACACATATCCCCCCCAACACACACATTTTCTTCATTTAAAGATGTTTCCAAGTCAAGTATGAGATTTCTTGGACTTGTTCATATTGAGGAAGAGATCTCCAGAACACAAATCTAGTTAATACTCAACACTTTACTGTGAATAACACTATCATGTACTGACATCCTACTTAGGCCAGGAAAAGAGCAATGCAAATATTATTATTCTCATTTTGTGACTGTGCAAACTAAGTCTTCAAAAAAGTTAAGCCCGCCCCTGGTTCTAAGTTCACTGATCTTAAAAGAGAAAAGGCTATTTCCCACCTCTAGTTACAACTTTCCAATTTATTTTTAAAACGCATCTAGCAGGTTGCTGTTTGCCAAGCACTGTTTTCAACATTTAGAACTATTAGCTGGTCTTTCTAACTCTATGAAATGAATACTACTGTGGCACAGAGACGCGCAATAACTCGCCCAAGGTAACCCAGCTACTCATGTGCACTGAGAAAACAGGACTAGGAGAAGTCATGTGCTGGGAGCAAAGACTTCTCACCTTCCAGCCGCCTTCTACGGTGGAATGACCCTCGGTTTCTGCAATCAGCATTAAAGAAGCTTCACCTTCCCGGGCTCGTCTAGCAGGGGCTGACGGAGCCTGAGGAAAACGTGAAGGTGACCAGCTCGCCCAGGTCCACCGCGGGCACTACCTGCAGCCGGGGGCCGCGACACTGCCCCGAGCACCCAGCCCGCGGGGCAGGGACCACCGGCAAGACCATCGACAACTTTCCCGGGGCAACGGAGGCGGGAAGCCGGGGGAAGCCGCTGCTGGTGGGCGGCTCGGCAGCCGAGGCGAAGCTCGGGGACCCGACGACGCAGGAGGGAGCCAGGGAGGCGGCCACCGGGCACCTCAGCTCGGGATACAGGGCGGGGGTCGGGCGCGAGTACGGGGCTACGGCGCTCAAAGCCCCGCACCGCCGAAGTGAGGAAGATGAAGCCGGACCCTTACCTCTTCCAAAGCTGAAGCCATGGTCGGACTGATCAGGCAAGGCCCGAGCTGCAGACAGGCAGGGGGGAACAACAGGAAACACCGCACCGAACGCGCTTACCCGGACGCAGGCCCCACCCGCACGAGTCACAGCGCCCCAAACCTGCGCGCACACCCGACCCGGCGCGAGACACAGTCCGCCTCCCGCACGCGGCGCCTCTGGAACCTTCGCGAGTCCGTCGCCGCCGCAGCCCCCAACCCCCCTACGCGCGCGCGCGCGCGCGCCGCCCGCCTCGCTTAGCCCCGCCCCGCCGAGCCTGGCCCCGCCCCGTCCGCCGGGCCTCTTAGCAACGCTCAACTCTCGCGAGCAAACCAGCAGCTCGAGAAGAGTAACGCCTCTTCCTCCCCGCCCGGGCAACTGTACGTCTTATACTTTGACCTCGCGTGTCCCGGCTGCGCAGTCGCAGCTCAGAACCGCTGTCTTGACGTACCTTAACCCAACCCCGGAAATAACGTACTCGTCTTCGGGGCCCAAATCGGAAGTTGACTAGAGAGTTGGCTGATTCCGTCTCAACTAGGGCGGCGGGTCGGCTAGGCAGCCATCTTATCTAAAGCTAATTTGTGAGCGTCTGTGAGAAAAGGACCGGGGGGAGGGGAGGAGAAGGGGCAGCCTTTTTGTGCCAAAACAGGAAAGAATGGAGACGGTTAGCGTAGAGGATCCTGAAAGAAATAGTTCGATTTTTCAGTGGGTTCTGACGTTCTGGAGACGTCACCGCGATTTAGCATCTGCGGTGTGGTGGCATCATCACGGAGCGCCACGGGAGGTGGGGTTCTGGCCACGTGACGGGACCCAGTAGCGCTGCCAGGGGTTAAAGCGTCTAATGCCAGGCTCCCCAGTCTTCGGCCGCAATTGTAGCTCCCCCTTTTGTTCCTCGACTGTTGAATTGCTTCTACGGTACCTTCGTCCCCTTCACCGAACATTCTGCAACTCTCTAATTCTAACCCAGGTTTAAATTGGTTCTAACTGAGGCTGTTAACCAGAGAAAATGTAGGCTGAGATTTCCCGGGATTATATTATGTTCCTCCTCTTTTCAGATTATTTTAGCCTTGGGCACTCTTAAAACGTCTGCAACAGGATAGGGAATAAACAGTAATCTCTGGGAAGTCAAATAACCCTCACTCAGCTTTATATATCGCCCAAGGCAACGATTAGAAGTCTGAGAAGGAAAAAAGCTACTAGAAAAATGTAGGCTGGCTATTGTCATTGTGAAGAAGCTTCTGGAGTGCAGTACAAAAATAGACAAACTGCAATTACTTACAAGATGCATGAATCTCACAGACCTGACATTAAGAGAAAGAAGCCAGATAAGAGTTTACATCGTTTGGTTTTATTTAAAGTGTAAAACCAGCAAAAGTCATTAGTTATGGTGTTAAAAATCAGGATAGTCTTTCCTTGGATGGGGAGGACAATGACAGAACCACGAGCAGGCTTTTGAGGTTCATATAATGTCTTATGTCTTGATTTGGATGTTGGTTGCAGGTATGTTCACTTTGTAGAAATTTCATGGAGCTATACACTGGAGTGCAATTTTTTTGTATGTTACACTTAGCTAAAAGTTATATTTAAGTAGGCGGGAATTTTCCCAAGAAGATTAAATGTTACACTGATACATTACAATTGTCAAAATTGATAGAATGAACTCCTAAGATCGGTGCATTTTTTGTTGTATGTTAATTATTCCTGTTTCTTAACTATCCAGCCCAAAGCCTGGAATTATTTATACTTAATTAAATAAGAACAAATAGCCCATTGCACTGCGGGAAAGGTTGACCTAATGCAGTGATTTTTCTAATTTGCTTGATTATGCACCTGGGGCAACTCTCCCTACTGCCAGATAGCCTAAATAGAGATTTGATGTATCTATGTATGTATTTATTTATTTTTATTACTGGTTTTCTTGTAAACTTTAAGTTCAAATTAATCAACATATAGTGTAGTATTGGTTTCAGGAGTAAAGTTTTGTGATTCGTCACTTACATATAATACCCAATGCCCATCCCAACAAGTGCCCTCCTTACCATCACCCATTTTATCCCATCCAGTAACCCTAGGTTCGTTCTCTATAGTTAAGAATCTCATGATTTGCTTTCCTCTCTCTTTTTATCTTATTTTTCTTTCTCTTCCCCCTATGTTCACGTTTTGTTTCTTAAATTCCACATAAGAATGAAATCATATGGTATTTGCCTTTCTCTGACTTATTTCGCTTAGTATAATATACTCTAATTCCATCCACATTGTTGCAAGTGACAAGATTTCATTCTTTTTGATGGCTGCATAATATTCCTTTGTATATATGAACCACATCTTTTTTTTAAATAATTTTTGTATTGTTATGTTAACCACCATACATTACATCATTAGTTTTTGATGCAGTGTTCCATGATTCATTGTTTGTGCATAACACCCAGTGCTCCACGCAGAATGTGCCCTCTTTAATACCCATCACCAGGCTAACCCATCCCCCCACCCCCCTCCCCTCTAGAACCCTCATGAACCACATCTTTATCCGTTGATCAGTTGATGGACTTCTGGGCTCTTTCCACAGTTTGGCTATTGGGGACATTGCTGCTATAAACATTGGGGTGCAGGTGCCCCTTCGGATCACTACATTTTTATCTTTGGGGTAAATATCCAGTAGTGCAATTGCTTGTTCATAGGGTAGTTCTATTTTTAACTAAAGTTAGAAGATTTTAAGTACCATCTATTATCCGGTGACTCCCAAATCAGTGTCTTCAGCAACACCTCTCCTCTGAGCTCTGGACTCTGTCTCTACTTGGATGTCTGAGAAGTACATCCAATTTAGTTTGTCTGAGAAGTACATCCAATTTAGCTTATCTGAAAAAAAACAAAAACTGCACACACACACACACACAACAAAAATCTCCTCCCAGTCATCTTCACGCCTCAAATCAGTTTCTCCAATTATTCTCCCACTCTGTGAATGGTTACCTCCTGCTCCTAATTGCTCAGGCCAAGGAATCATACTTGAGCCTTCAATCTCAGGTTCCTACCTCCCATCCTATAGCAAGACTTACTGTCATCTACAAAATATGTGGATAATCAAACCACTTCTCACAACCTCCACTGCTACCACTGAAGACCAAGCCATAATTATTTTATCTGGATTTCTAGCCTCTTAACTGGTTTTCCCCCCCGTGCCTTTACAGTTATTTTTCCACAGAGCAGCCAGAGTAATCTTTTCAAATCATTATATCCCTTTGGTAAACAACCTCCCAATAGCTTCCTGTTGGGCTTAGACTAAGTGCAAACTCCTTACCATGACCTAACATATACTACATGATCTTATCTCACCTTTATGATGAGTATCATGTCTCATCTCACAGAACTCTTCTCTCACTGCTTCTCCCTCTCCCTGGTTTAAACACTGGTATGTTGTACTTGAATCCACAAAGTTTGCCCTCACCTCAAAGTCTGTACTCTGTGCTTTTCTATCTCAAGTGCTTTTCCTCCAGACCATCACGTAGATCATCGCGTAGATCTTCATTTTACTCAGGTCTCTCAAAAGTAACCCTAAGAGCTGCTCTTCCCAGCTGTTATTAGTTAGGTTTCGATCAGGGAAGCGGAATCAGTAGCAGATACTTATTGCAAGGAATTAACCTATGTAATTGTTAGAACTGGCTAAGCAAGTCCAAAATCCTTAGGCCACACAAGCAAAAATGGATTATAGGCAGGCTGGTAACCATGAGAACGGGTTGAAGCCTTGATCCACAGAAGTCAGGGAAGGAAGAATTCCATTCTTCTCTCAAATAAATCTCAGCCCTGCATTAAGGCCTTCCAACTGACTCAATTAGCCCCACCCAGATTATCCCAGATAATCTCCCTCAAAGCTAAATGATTAAGAGCTTTAATTACTAAGTGCACAATACACAGCAACACTTACTTTTTGGCTGAATCGTGGGGGAGTGTAGGCTAGCCAAGTTTGCATATCAAAAACCATCCTATCAACCTCATCCCCATCACTCACCATTTCTCTCCACCCTCTTACCCTGTTTTTCTTCATAGTACTTATTAATACCTGCAATTTATTAGTCTTCCCAATAGTCACTCTCAATTGGCGGCAATTGTGGACATTTTGCTTACTCCTTCCTCCCAGACATTTGGCAAGACATTTTTGGTTGTCACAACTGGTGAAATACGACTAATATCTAGTGGGGAGAGGCCAGGGATGCTACTAAATATCCTACAGTATGCACTACAGCCCCCACAAGAAAGAACTCTTTGGCCCAAAATGTCAGTAGTTTTCTCTGAGTTTGAGAAAAATTCCATGCTAAAGTTAAAACTTCTGAGGTAGGATCTTTTTGTTCACCTCATTTCTAGCACTTAGAGACTGGTGCAGTAGGCAGTCAGTAAATTTGCTTGAATTAATTTAATAGACCTGGCAATCTGCATTTTATTTTTATTTTTGTCATTTAAATACTACAATTTCTATTTGGTGAGTCCGTGCTAAAGCCTGAACTTCCTTGCAAATTTTCCTTGCAAGTAAACTTTTAAAAGATTTTGTTCTGTCTCCCTTTGACAGTAATAAAAGATTTTGTTACGGTAGAATTTCAAAAAGGTGAAATCAAGAATCCCTCGCAAATATAAAAGGAACATATGACAAATATTTTATTCAACTTAATGAGGGAACCAGTAAGATGTTAAAACTGTTATCAAAGTGTATTTGCATAATGGATCCTTAGAGGCAATTTATTTCTATTTTTTTAAAGATTTTATTTGAGAGAGAGTGGGGGGTGGGGCAGAGGGAGAGCATCTCAAGCAGACTCCCCACTGAGCATGGAGCCTGAAACAGGGCTTGATCTCACAACCCTGAGATCATGACCTGAGCTGAAACCAATAGTTGAACGCTCAACAGACTGAGCCACCTGGGCACTCGTAAGTGCCTGCACTTTATTTATTTATTTTTTTAAAGGTTTTATTTATTTGAGCAAGAGAGAATGAGAGAGAGCACGAGAGGGAAGAGGGTCAGAGGGAGAAGCAGACTCCCCGCTGAGCAGGGAGCCCAATGTGGGACTCAATCCCAGGACTCCAGGATCATGACCTGAGCCGAAGGCAGTTGCTTAACCAACTGAGCCACCCAGGCACCCATGCTTGCACTTTAATAATGGAATGTTAGTGTATGGTTTGCAAAGTTAGATACAAACTGGCTAATGTCCTACCCGGGTAATAAGCCATAT